TTTTGGCTTACGGAAGGTTTCAGAGGAAGCTCTACTTTCAGATAGTGCGGGAAACCTGTACTCGCTATGTGCAAAACCCAGCATTGATTAATAAAAGGCAAACAGACCTACTAACTTTCAAAGCATGTGAATATATATTTGCAGGAGTTTATTTTTCATCTCATTAGGGAGAAGTAATAGTTTAAAAAACAGATATTGGTAAAATATTCAGTAATTATAGTCTGGTCTAAAGTGCTTATGTTTGGGGCCGACCCGTGGCCTGGTGGTTAGGTCCTGCGTGCTCCGCCTGGGTTTCCAGTTTCGGATCCCAGCTGGGGACTTCCACCACTGTCAGCCATGCTGTGGCAGGACCCACGCATAATAAATAGAGGAAGATTGGCACAGATGTTAGCTCAGGGCTAATCTTCCTCAGGAAAAAAAAAGTGCTTATGTTTGATTATGCATATTTGTAAAATATGAGCAAAAATCTGGAAAGACATTGGCCTATGAATCAATTTGAGCTTTACATGAAACTGTTCTTACTGTTGTGGCATCTTTGCAAAAAACATTTCACAAATACCTGTGAGGTAAAAGCTTAAGATAATTTAGGAAACCATGACTTACCACCTACTCACTTGTTTTCCATGCTAAGAATTCTTAGAATTCAGAAGATCGCCACTTCTGAGAAATCAGTCAGTCTTACCTCCCCAAAGCCATTGGACTAGTGGACTGGATATCTGGTTGGACCGGCCATGCAGCACAACTAGCTGGTTTAACTGTCTACGTAGAATAGTTCACTTTGTCCCTTTCAGAATAACTGCCTTGGGCCGGCTCCGTGGCTTGGCGGTTAAGTGCGCGCGCTCTGATGCTGGCGGCCCGGGTTCGGATCCCGGGAGCGCCCCGAGGCATCGCTTCTCCGTCCAACGTGAGGCCGAGTCCCACGTACAGCAACTAGAGGGATGTGAACCTATGACATGTGGCTGTCTACTGGGGCTTTGGGGGGAAAAAACTGAATAAATAAAATCTTTAAAAAAAAAAAAAAAACAAATAATAGTCGTATTAAGAGCTAATTTTGAGTGTTTCATAGATGTCAGGAACTGCACTGAAGGGCCTTTACTTACTATCGAATTTATTCCTCATTATAAGTCCAAGTTATATTTTATTATTAGTTCCATTTTACAGATGAGAAAACAAGAGAAGGAAAGAAGTCTGCCAACGTGTAGAACTAGGAGTCAGACTCAAGTTTATTTCTCCAAAGTCTAAGCTCTTACCCACATGCCAAACCCTCCCCTGAAGAAAGTGAAGATGAAAATGCTGGTATTAACTGGCCCAGATCCACCCTTGAAGCCCCCTCCTCTGGGAATACGACACTCCAGCCACACTCCCCACTCTGAGCACAGCCTGGCCTTTCAGATCTCCTCATCATTCTCCCGTTGTTCCCCTCAACAGGACCTACTAGAATCATACTCATCCACCAAGACCCATTCAAATCTTTTTCCCATCAACCCCATCCCAAACAACTGAACATAACATCAGCCTAGAGATAAAATGAGCCACCTACAGTGTGTGTCCTAAGCTGGTCATAGAATGGGGGAGGAGGTGCCTTATCTTTGGGCTTCAGGTCTGCTGCTCAGTCACCTGTCTGAAGCTGTGGGCAGACTGTCTAATCATTGTATCAGATAGTACGATCTAGCCCAGGAGTCGGGGAACATGTTACAAGCCTCCACTAATTCTCTGTGCATTTTTTAAGAATACCCGTCATCTCTCATACGGAAAGCATCAATGAAATCCTGTTTGGAAAATAATCAAAACTACTTTGGGAAGAAACTATGGCATGAACACAAAGCAAATGAAATGTCTGGGCTTCATGGATGCACTGAAAGATTTCTATGATGTTTGTTCTTATTTTATAGCTTTATTTTCCTAATTATAGAATAGTTATTTAAAGTTATCGAGTTAAGGATTTTCTTACCTAACACCAAAAACAGTACGGGAAGAAAAATTAATTTTCAATCCTAAGGAGAATTTTCACAGTAAGAGAAAAGAGAGACGGCCAAATGATAACGTAATTCACTCAAAATCATGCCTATAAACTTTCTACCTGGCTAGTCTACATGAGTAATTCACATAGATGGCCAGGTACAAAGGTGAATTTGAGCTTCAAGGACCTGTATAATTTAAGCTCCCTGAAAATTTTCTGAACAATTTAGATAACTGAAACTAACCTGTACATTAATTACTAGACTCTATTCTATGTGAAGATTCTATCTCAACAATAATGTAAAAGGTATTAGTCTTCAGCTTTGAGAAGAGCCAATCCACATTCAAGACAAATCTTTGTCTTACCTGTTTTGGACATGAAGCTTCACCATCCCATTCTTTCTCCTCAGCAAACCGGAACTGTGAGAAGGAGTCCCCTAGGAATAGAAAAAAACATAATTTTATGCAAAAGCCAAAGGAAAACACTCAGTTCTCTAAATTTCCCTTTTGGAATAAAAATGCCATTTCCGAAGAGCTAACCATTCCGAATTCAGTGATGTCATTCAATAGAAGGTCCTGGCTTCCACATCTTTACACAGCGATCTGTGCATGGTGGGCACTTGAAAATATTGTTGGCAACTGCATTCACTGTTTCATTCAGCTCTCAGTAAACCACCATCCTACATGCTTCTGGAGAGACAACTAAGTGGTTCAGGCCTGCCAACATGACCATCTACCCATATTTAGCATATTTTCATCTCATCTGCTTAATGTATGCAAGGAAACTTATATTTATGATTTAGGGGGTGAGCAAAGCAGAAAAGGAAGGAGAACAGAACTGAAGGAAAGCAGTTCTAGACTGATCCACAATAGGACAGACTTAAAATATCTCTTTGAGGTGAGGTTACCAACCTCAACCATCGCTCCAAAAATCACCTGGTTAGAACGTCAAATGCAAAATAAAACTCAAAGAATGTGCATTAGATTAGTTAACGTGAATCATGGTGCACAGCTCTGAGCTCTGGGAATAAAGGAAAATGATTATTTTGTAAACGTGTACTTATCCGATTACTTGCATTAAGAACAGCTAATTTATAAATGAAAAATTATTTCTCTACCTCGTTTTCAGGATCCTCCAAAATGTGGTCCTACCTCATTAACCCACATTTACTTCCTAGTTCTTCAGACTTTCTGCTCCAGAGTCAGCCTCTTTTCACACTCCAAACATACTTCATATTCTATCCTATCCTCATTTCTTTTTTAATCCTTCCACCTTGTCTGGAAGATCCACACACTTCTACCCATTCATATTCTATTCATACTTCAAGACTCAGGTACAGGCCCACTTCATTCTCCTGTGATACCTCTCAGGTTTTCTAACTATAGAGTCCATTCTTTACTTCTAAATTAAAAGAGGGAAAAAGAAGTGAATAATTCAAAATTAAAGAGGCAAAGATAAAATTGGAACCTACACCACCCCCACCATTCCCAAAACACATGGATTCCAACATTAACATTTGACAAAATCAAATTCAAGGCACAAAGGACCAAGAACAACACTCTTTATCATGAGAAAAGGTAAAATCACTCCTCTTAGTCATTGGCAAATCAATATGATCCCTCAAAAATTACAATATAAAGGATCTGAATAATGTAATTAATAAGGTCTTTTATGTGTATGTGGATATGTAAGTGATTGTGTGCAGGTATGTATTGTGATATATGTGTGTACTTTCTTTATAAATATCTGTGCAACATTAATTTTTAAAAAGTCCACAAAAACCTCAATAAATCCGAAAACGTAGCAGTCATACAAACCATATTCACATTTGTAGCACACATAGGCAAAGAGTTAATATCTCTTACATACAAAGAGCTTTCGAAAATCAACCAAAAAAAAAACACCTAATAGAAAAACAGGAAAAGGGGCAAGAATAAGAAATATGAGTGGCTTATATGAAATAAATAATAAATGAATAAATTAAAAATCAATCTGGTAGATTTTTAAAACTTGGCCAAATGGCTGAATGCCTTATTCAGTGTTATTTTTGGCATTCCTGAACTTCTATATTATAAACGATCCTATGATTGCACAGATTACTAACATATAACTAACATATAATCAGCGCAAGATAACAGTAATGCAAACAGGGCATGCTATACATATTTATGTATTTATTTTTATTAAGGTAACAGTTTATAACATTATATAAATTTCAGGTGTACATCATTTACTTCGACTTCATGTTCACCACCAAAAGTCTAGTTTCCATCCATCTTTATTTTTAATATCTGAATATTCAATTTCAAATACAGGTAAGATTTCAACAATGGCTAAATAGCTTGTTGCAAACCAATCCTGTTGCTGAGAACAACTAGGAACACCAAGCAGAAAAAAAATCTGCAGACATTAGAGAGCTACCAAGGCAGCGAGGACGTGAGGGACAAAGGTCCTAGAGAGAAGAGAAGCTCAAGGAGACAAGTCTAACATTTAGAACAGCTTTTCGCTTTGAGGCATTTGTTAATTTCCAAAGGTGGTGCAGAGAGACTGAAAAACTGAGCGTGAAGTAACAACCAGGGAGGCTGTGAAGCTGCAGAGAGCTTCTGCTAGTCTTGTGACACTAGGTGGACAAAAACTCGAGTTCAGGGCCCATGGATGAGGAAGAGTCTTGGGAAATCAAAGCTTTCAAGTGAGACCCCTGATGACCAGATCTTAGAGGGAGGGATGAAGTAGCACAGGCCAGCCCTCACAAAGTGAGGCAAAGCTGTGAATCAGATCAATCTCTGATTCTGCCTACAAGAAGAAAAGTAAATCCTCTGTGGAGGAAAATGACATTATCAATAGCCTACAATTATCTCTACTATTTTTTTATACGCAGTGCTCAAAATTCATTAAAAACCATCCAGCTTCTCAGGAGTTGAGACCAAGACAACAGAAAACTAGGAGATGGGGGGGAAAAACAGACAATAGAAAAAGAGCCACAGAAGTTAAGATACTGGAGATATCAAACATAAATTTTGTAATTTTGCAATGTAAAAATTTCAAGAATAGGAAAAACTATAAAATCACAACGACATCCACAGTCATCTTTGATTCATACAAAATGAAAAAAATGAAGTATACACATAAAAATATAAAGAAGAAAATGTTTGAGAAAAATGAAATACCTAAAACACGTTTTGTTTATAGGAATCAAACTTCAAAACAGCACAATTTAAAAATCTTAATATATAAAGTATATAGAGGCTAATTTTGAAAAATGAGCTTGTTGAAATGACTACTAAAGAATGCCAACCCCTCTAATCCTCTCATTGAAAATGAGTGTTCAGACTTGTCGAAGTTATGAATCCTAGAATCAAGAGTGCTTCTGGAAAACATGTTACCAAAATTCTTCTTCCTGAATTACATCGTGACATGCACAAAGACAATGGTGGTATTACCAAATGTGCTACTACTATGTCTTGTACTTCAGACATTTGGACACACAGAAACAATCAGAGACCTTTAAATAAGTCATTTTAAAAATAAGGTAGCTTATGTAATATACAGCATGGTAACTATAATTAATTATACTGTATTGCATAATTGAAAGTTGCTAAGAGAGTAGATCTTAAAGTTATCACCACAAGAAAAAAGAAATTTGTAACCATATATGATGATGGATCTTAACTAGACTTATCATGGTGATCATTTTGCAGTATGTACAAATGTTGCGTCATTGTGTTGTGCCCTTGAAACTAATATAATGTTATATATCAATTATACCTCAGTTTAAAAAAATAAGGTAGCTTTATATGTAGTGACATGGAAAGACACCCATTATTTCAACTGTTACATGAAAAAATCAAGTTTTAGTACAGTATGAATAAGATATATACATATACATACACATACATATATATGTATATATCACAAAATTACTAATATATGCATAGAAGTGAGTCAACAATTATATACCTATTTTAAGAATGATTCTCTCAGAGAGTGGGATTGAAGGAGACTTATACTTTCTGCACAATACATTTTCCAGTTGAATTTTCCTTTGTAAACAATAAGCACATGTTACTTTTGAAACTGAGCCAAACAAAAGGAAATCTAGAAAAAGCTGCAATGTCTCAAGGACAAGGGCCTTCTCAGAATGCATTAAGATAAAACATCTACAGATCTCAAAAGCTGGACCCACAGATGTCATTCATTCTAACTCGCACTTCATGGAACAATAAAGAACCTCAGGTCTAGAGAGGTTAAATGGCCTGACTGACCATGGCCACATAGACTGTTAATGGCTGGACACCAAGACCTCTTGGCTCCTAACATTTATAATTCTACCTATAACTAATAAAGCTCTTTCCACTATTTCCACTAGGCTTCTCAACTATCTGAGTTCTCTAAGACAAAAACAGACAATAAATATTTTATGATATTTGACATACTATTATTTGATAGTTTGATATTTGATACGTTGACAATGTTTGAAGATATGAAAATCCAAACTCAAAAATAAAGAATTCCTCCTTTTAGGAAAGGAATCACTTCAGGGGTTCCTTTAAATAACTATCATACTACTTTTAAAAATAAGAGTGTTTTTGTAGAACTCTAAGTATTCTAATAATGATAGCATTGGAGAAATAAAGGTGATATACCAACTCTGACACTGTATTTATAGTACCCAGGATTCTCTCTCTGCCTAACTTCTGAAACTGGTCTAACGCATGTCTTATGACCAGTAGACATGACAAAGTAGACCTTAAACTTGTTAGAATTCCACAGTACCAATATGCTTTCAAAAAGCTTACCACCTAGTTGTAGATAACATAGCTTTCACTTTTAAGCTTAGCCCTTCAGCCCCATCAGCAAAAAAGCGCTTTCAGCCAAGCAAAAGTACTTAACATAACCATAAAGCTCTCTAGTGGAAGTTCAGGTGGGATTAGAAGGAACAATCTTCATCTGGGCAAAGAGAAACTTGCAAAGACTTTCAGTTTCAACATTGCAGATCAGGTGTATATGAAGAGCGAGTGTGAAAGATGGAAAATGCGCCCAAGCCTAATAATACTCAGTTCCCATTATCTGGTAGTGATAATTCCCATAACTGACATCTATTCTAGATATAGGGGCCTTTTTCTCGTAAAATCAGCCCAGACCTTTGTGGTGCATGATTTTGGAAACCAACTCTAGAAAGCAAGAGGAATGTATCACTAGTTCTGGATGAGGATTGCATTTTAAGCTCCATTTTCCTAGCTCTTCTTTATCATGATCACCTTCCTTTATTTCCCTACAGCCCTTAGAATATGCCCTCAACCAGGACACCATGTCTCTGGGAAGTTGCAAACGAACTTTACAGGTTAACAAGTTAACAATCTTCATAGGAAGAGAGTATGTCCCAATAGTCACCACAATGGCTGCTATAGAAAATGAAATGTACCCTTTCTTCTCTCT